ATTGTGTCGTTCTTCCCTAAAGCAGGATAGATAGCACAAATGACAAAGCCTTACTATAGAAATTCCACTCATAAGGCTGGCCGCTATAAACTGACCGAACTCATCCAGGAGCGACTGGAAATATTCTTACTTCCCATGGATCAGATGCCAATCCATGGGAGGGGTAGGTGCGCAGTTGGTCAAACACTGACATGGATCTGATTTTCAAGTCCTCAGTACGAGCATTCCCTCCTTTCGGTGAAGTTCGTCGCACGAGTACAAAAAAAAAAAAAAAGAAAAGGAGAAAGTCAGCGAAAAAAAATCGCTTTTAGCGCGCCGCGGGGAACTCTTGGAGTGACGCTGATACGCCGCAGAGCTCCATTAGTGAAGCGTTCGGAAAGGAGCTCCAGCGGCGCATCGACATCAATTTTTTTCACTAATTTTTTTTTACTCGCACGACGGACTTCGCCGAAAAGGAGGGACTGGTCGCAATCTACATTATAGTCCTTGTTGTCATCGTGAAAGGAAAGTGTCTTGCCTAAGTAAACAACAAGCCGTTACATTCACTTTGGATTCGGTCGTCGATTCTTCCGCAGAGGTACTTCGAGGAAGGGGGAGGAGCGCGCGCTCCTTTGCCGAACAGCGGATAGTATATCCAGCCTAGCTTTCTAAACAATCTTTTCGTGGCACCGGGAAAAAAAACAAAAGTAGTGACGACACACTTACAAAAGACTTGTTTGAGTTCCACCGAGTGAGAGGTTGGCATGTCACCTTCCATTATCTCTGAACTTCCTTGAAGAACAACAAATAACATGCTACCTAAAGAGAGTGAAGGAAAAAAAAAAACTGTCGAGCCAATCTCGCCGTGATATCACAGAGCATTTTCCAACTTAATCCATGAAAATTAAACAGGCAAAGACCAAACTAGGCGATGGATCTGTTTAAATCAACGCCCTCCTCGGCGTCACCATCGTGTATGTCAGTCTAGAGTATCTCGTAGTGGTGCAAGAGACGGGCGGTAGCTATCATGACAAAGATCAGAAAAATCAACCGTATTTCCAGCTGTTGATTCATTATTAATCATCAAGCTGCACTGATATCAAAGCACACTTGCCATCTCGGTACTCTCTCTCTGTAAGTACGATCTCGCCAGCTCGAACTTCTTTAATTGTCATGGATAAAGCAAGAATGTAAAGGAATCCTGCCGGACATGTTTTGAACTCTTCCGTCTGTGAAGAGAAGCGAACCTAAATCTGAGAAGTGATCCAAACACGATTTCATTGTTATCGCAAAAGGTTTACAGATTAAAGCCCCAAAAAAAGGAATGAAGAATTAAATTTAATAAATTGAATCTTAGCCACCACATTTCGACGAAGCGACCATTCGTACACTATTTCCAGATAGAAATAGGAGTTGAGGTTTTGCTTTTGTAGAGAGAGTAAGACCCCTAAACTGTGGAAAGACGAGTTCCAGCCATGTTCTCAACCCATGTGAGACTCTAACTAATGACTGAAATGAATCAAGGAGAGACCAGCACGTTTTCCTGCATCCCCAAATTTGAACAGAAACCCATGGCTTTGGGCTTTCCCAAGGATCTGATAGCGAATCCATAGAACGAAAGAACTGCTGGATTTTAAGATTAATTTGCTTTTAACAGGTGAGCTAAGTACGATTCCTTATTTTAAGATATAATCATGCACGTTAAGAAGTTATCATTTACCTGTTTTAAGGTCATTCTCAAAATCTGCGGAGGGATAGAAAAGAAATGAAGGTAAAATGTGGTGAAATTAATCACACGGAAAGACAGTGATTTGGATCCATCATCGTTTGCCTCTCTTAAGTTCAGTTCAGACGTCGATCGGGACATTTTGACTGCCTACTTTGAGTCATCTTTGCTCTTAACAGTTAAGTTTCATAATCTGGTTAATTTAATTACTTTTTTCCTATTGGGTAGATCTGTTGGTTCGACCTAGTCAACTGAACTAAAACAAATCTTACTTAAGTTTTCAGGTCAATTCTAATCCAAAGGACGCTAATTTCCTGGTTTGTGTGAATTTCAGTCACAAATGACATATTTAGCGTTTCCACATTTGTCACTTTTCTTGTGGTTAAAAAGTTAATCACTACTGGAGGTCAGACGATTTATTGAAATTTTGGTCAGGCTAACAGAACCCTTCAACTCTGATCCAACATATATTAATTTCATTCATTTGAGTAAATCACCTAACTGCAATTATGCATTTCTATGCAAAGAATTTGTGATAATTCTCTTAACCTTTTACATCCTAAGGTAAGTGTCCATATTCTACACACTGTCCTTTATACATTTTCTAAGTTGCTGACAATCACAAGCTTCTTTAGCTGGTGATCATTTCATCTATTCTCATGACCTTACTGTGTGGTTCAGAAGTAATATTGTAAGGAGAAATTAGATTTTAGTCATCGTTAGGGGTTCAAGGGTGAAAGGGTTAAAAAAAAATGCCAATCCCTTCTGAAAGTCTAAATAGCTAGCTAGTACAAGGAGAAACACTGAGTAGCCGGCAGAGCAGTAATAATGATTCTTCCATTCTTCAGGTGAGCGGAGACAAGGGCAAGGCAAGTGTGAGGGGCAAGACAAGTGTGAGGGGCAAGACACACTCAAGGAGTGGAGACAAAGGTTATGCCCCTTGCACTCCCTCCTCTCGCCTGAGGAACAGTGGAAACAATTACTATGTTTGGGAGGCTAAAGAACAGGAAAGAGAAACAAAAGTTGTATACACAAAAGAAATCCACAAGAGAAATCAAGATTATATTTATGCAAACCTCCAGATCTAAAGCACCCCTGTATTTTGAGTACAGTTCACCATCTCTCTGATTCACTTGCTGTTTCCATTTCACACTAAGCTCTTGGAGTAATGTTGCTTCTGCTGTGAACTGTAAAAGGAAAACAATTTCAAATCGAATTGGCATGTAAATGAACCACTACGAAAATACCTGAAATTCAATAATAAATAAACTAAACCTGGTTGATGACATCATGAAAATTTTCCTGATGCAGAAGAATAATCTGGCATGGCCCAGCTGCCCTGTGAAAATAGTTTACAAGCAATGAATTTCTGCTGTGAACAGTTCAGCACCAAGCCCTTCATTAAATGAAATTGAGAAATATACTGCTTTAATGATCATAACTGTTATTAAGTTAATTAGAACTTAAACAAATGAGTGATTTGAACTTATTTTTGATTGTGGCTTATTCAGGGAACTGGGATTTAGGTGCAGGCCATGAATTTAACACTTTTTGATGAAGCACACACCTGCCTTACAATTTTGTCATTTCCCTTTACCTAAGAGCTATGAAGAGTGCATGTTTCTCTTACCTTACAGTAGATCTTCTCTCTGCTCCAGTGAAGAAACCTGGAGGCAGAATTAATGAACTATGACAAATTCATGAGGTATAAAGTTGTGCTATAACTAAGTTATGATTTGTATGAACATATTTTTATCTTGTATTGTTACAAATCACTCACAAAACATTAGTGTTCAGTCAATAAAAAAACAAACAACTAGAGGTACTATTTGGGTGTGTCTTATTATAGTATTATTAATACCTTCCTCTCCAAAGGAAAATCCTCTTTCTCCAGCATCAAATGTGGCAACATCCTGGTTACCTGTGGAGAAGTTTACCCTAAGTGCAAAACAATATAGTTACCTCTTATAATCATCCTTAACTTTAGTGGATAGCTTCAACTTTCACAAAATAGAAGGGTTCATAATCACAAACTAAGACAATATTGTTGTAAGAAATTAAGAGGAAAACTTATCCAGGTTTTTGTAGCATAAAGCAAATTCAAGTGCTACTCCACTGGATAGTCAAGGGAAGAGTGGCAGCCTCATTGTTAGTGAGCTTGACTCTGGATCGAGTGGTCTGGGTTTGAGCTCCTGGCTGGGGACATTGTGTTGTGTTCTTGGATGAGATACTTTACTCTCACAGTGCCTCTCTTCACCCTGGTGTTTAAATGGGTACTGGTAAATTTAATACTGGGGGATAACCTTGCAATGAACTAGCATCCCACCCTGGGGGAGTCACAATACTCCTAGTCACTTCAAGCTATGAAACTGGAGTTAAGCACTGGTCTAAAGGGCCACTTAGCTCATAAACAGACTGCTGAATGTGTTTACCATTCCATCACAGGCATGATTTTGTCAGACTTCCCTGACAGTTCATGGGTACCCAATCAAAGCATTTATCTTCACTGGTGGAGAGAGGCACTGTGTGAGTACATTGTCTTATCCAAGAACACCATATTATGACCTGGTTGGGTCTTGAACTTACTGTGCAGGTAGGTGAGAATTTTTTCATTTCAACTACCAGTAGATTTTTAAAATTGTCACATAACTTGCAGCTCCCTTTTACCCACAGTGGTGCATATTTCATGCAAAATCAACAGATTACCCCAGGTAAATTGCCAGATATTACAGCACTTGACTGTTTAATAGCTTGTAAGTAAAACATAAAATACTTACTGTCCATGCACTAGAAAAAACATTTCCTGTCCTTTCCAGCCTTCTTTGAAAATTATACTGTCAGGAGGATACAACACAATAACTGCTGCAAGAGTCAGACATATGTATTAAAAAAAAAAACAAAGAACAGGAATCAATAATAACAAACGAAACATTTAAGAAGAAAAAAATTTAATTTCCAATGGATTGGATCAAGCTGAACATTGGTTCACTGACTCAGCAGAGAGATAGACCTCACATTTTCCTGAACAATACTAGTTAAACCCTTCATCGCAAGATCTGAAATTAATTTTTCAAACTGTACACCATACATTTCTTTGTTGACTGGTTCCAACAATTCAAATACCAACCACTTCCACGTTTATTCACTATTTCAAACTTCAGTTTGGTTTGATTTAAAACAGAATTCTTCTCCAAAGCTGGAGACTTTCTCATAATTTTCTCTTTTCACCAACCTGGTTTGACAGTTTTAACTACAGCTTTCAGAGATTCTTTTCCCCAGCCATGAAGTATAGGAGACTAAAATAAAAATCGTAATTATAATAAAAAAGAACAAGAATTTACAGTTGCAATATGTATCTATATATTGGCTACCTTAATCAAAATGATATGAAAATGATATACCTATATATTAGGTATATACCTAATATAACTATATGTTAGGTATTATTAGGTATTATATATAGGTATATTAGGTATATTTGAAGCAAATTCTCAGGGTGTGTTTCAAAAGAAACTCCTGTGCTATGTCAGTGGGGGGATATAACACGATTATACTTATAATTTTATCAACTGAGTTGATTATATAAATTGGCCACTGAAAAGAGTTTCCAAAGATGACATTTTGAACATTAGATCCTCAAAGTGTGAATAAAAAAGGTCTAAAACTCACACTTTAGCTAAATAAACTCTTCATGGTGGCCAATATACTTTAACTATATTTTTTTGAGATAAACAAACCTTTTGCAATATATCTACAGCAATTTCTCTTGACAGTTGTTGGTTATCAAACAGCTTACTGGTATCAAGGTATCTCCTGTAACAGTAAAAAATTCCTTTTAACTGCCATTACCTTTCTACACAATCGGAGAATTTGTGAGAAACAGACTGACATTCCTAAAACAAACTTGAGGAATAAAAAATAATTAGGCTGGCTTTATAAATGGATGATTATTCAAGTATGATTTCCACCAACCTCTGTTGAAACCACTGTAATAGAGTCACCTCACTGGGAAATGTTAAAAGCTGACGGGCATCAGAGGTCTTTAGAAGCAGCAACACACACCTGGCAGTTTCAACCAAAAAAAAAAAAAAAGAAAGGTTATAAATCCGCAAATTATTAATTTGTATGACATTTCCAAAAGTTAAACCTTTAACCCAAAGACTGACCAATGTTCAATTTCTACTTAAAATTATTAATACCAATATACTTTTAAGAAGACTCATAGTGGAAACAAACAGAATTATAAGTTGCTTGATTTGAAGCAAATTCTCAGAACTTAAATTGTGACAAAGGTATATCTGACAGTAAGGAGAATTTAAACTGCGATCTGGATATTAAAAGGGCTGTGTATCAATACGAACCTGTCAGATGACCACACATCAGCAGTGCAATTCATATTAAACAGTGCCGAAACTTCACCAAAGCAGTCACCGACTTGAATTTCCCTCAGGGAAAATTTCTTGTTTTCACTAAAAACAGTCACATTTCCTGACACCAACACATATATTCCAGGCGGCTCTTGACCTTTACTTAGAACAATTTCTGGAGCTTCACCAGTTTCTATCAGTTCTACTCGTTTGATCACTTCTTCTCGAACACCTTTGTTTAGGACAAGAGGCAATCTGTTTAAACAGCCAGTAAGTGCGACAATAGCTTCTTGCGGAAGCGTTGGATTGACGGACGATGCAAAATTGGAGCGTTCAAGCTGACTTTCACGTCTTGTGGAACTCTGTTTGTTACCCATTTCTTTTCATTGAGGGTGCTTTCGGAGTGGTAGGATTAGGTCGGTTTTGTTGCTTTTAAACCAACCTAAAAAAACAACTTGCCCACAAGATGATTGAAATCAAAACGGAAGAAACGATAAACTATGGTGTAGTATGTAGTTACGAATTTTGATCTTCTGTTTTACCGGGATCATAGTTTATCGAGGGATCTACCCGGGAAACCAACCTTGTTCCCATACCCCGTCTAGCTCTCATTCATCACTCTTCTTTGTTGTGGTGAGCGCCGAACTCTACCGAACTTTTCCGAGAGAGCAATGACCTATCAGTGGAGTATAATGAACTAATTTATTAAGAAATCGACATCATCTTCTCGTCGACCAATGAGGAACGAAAGGTTCGGATGAAAACAACACGTGCGGTGAAATTTGTTAGCGCAGTTCTCGGAGAGGGCTTAGCGCAGTTCACCCTTAGGGGATAACATTATTTTAAGGAAGGTTTAATTTTCCACTGTTTTCCAATTTATACGAGGAACCTGGACGCAGGATTTAAAAGCTGCTCAAATATGAAGTACATTCTAGTTACTGGTGGTGTTATCAGTGGTATCGGTAAAGGAGTTATCTCCAGCAGCATTGGAGCGTTGTTGAAAGGATGTGGGTTGCATGTTACTTCAATTAAAATAGATCCTTACCTTAATATCGACGCTGGAACATTCTCTCCTTACGAGCATGGTAAGACGTTGTTGTTGTTTTTTTTTTATCAGTCGTCGAATGTACCGCTGAGAGCGTCCGTCACATCTTTTACGCGCGCAATATGCATGATTCAAACTTGTCCCGCCATTTTTCTTCGAGTCCGTTGGTACATAAGTGATGAATTTCGAGATATTTTATCAGGTTTTTGTGGTTAAAGCATTGTGACACCTTGCAAAATGTAGTTTTGGCAGCATTACCACGCAAACTTATTGAAAAAAAATCTTAAATTTATCATGCCTTGTAAGTTTGACCGTTTCGTGCGAACCAACTGCTCATGGTAAATGACCCATCGGTTATCTTTTGTTTGCATTCAGGTAATTGAGTAGTATAAGGTTAAGTGTGCACATTGCATCTCAATGTTAATAGTGCCCTCCTCGATTGAAAAATAAGTAATTTTATCAGGAAAGTACTGAAGCGGTTTGAAATCTAGGTATTCAGTTAGACGTCCTGCAGCGTGCTTCACACGTGATTCTGTAGTATATGCAGCAATATTTGAAGAAAGACGTAAAAGCAGATAATCCTCCTTCCCAAGATGTAGATTATGAGAGATTGAATAGCATATCACTTTATTTCCATCTTAAAATCTCTTTGATATCATTGTCCTTTTCCAAATCTGTGTATGTATTACAAGATCTGATCGTCCCTGTACTTTCTGGTTTCTAAAATTGTCCACATTTGATACATGTGTATGGTTGGACAGAGGTGAACTGGTGAGATATAAAGTAAGGGCTTTTTTTCTAACCTTTTCTCAGAAAATGATAAAAAAGAAACAGTCTTTTGTGGTTTGGCTTGTTTTGTGTGGCTTTTCTTTTGATAACCTTGTAAAAACAGCAATTTAAAGACAACTGTTGTTTTGCAATAATTTTACTGGATCATTTTACCTGTAAGCCTCAGCTTGCAGGTAGGAGACCCAGTTTTCCAGGTGCATCTTTCAGAATTATTTTGTGTTATATGAGAAGGAGGCATGATGCACTATTGTACAAGTGTGTAAAGGAGAAAAGCTCAGTGATGAATGTAAGGACTCCTTGTTTAAACATCAGTTTTGCTCTGTAACAGTAAATTAACTCATTTCAAACTTGTATTGTTACAGGAGAAGTGTTTGTCTTGGATGATGGAGGTGAAGTAGATTTAGACCTTGGAAATTATGAAAGGTTCCTTGATGTTACTCTTCACCGTAACAATAACATAACAACTGGTAAAATATATCAGAGTGTGATCGATAAAGAAAGACGTGGGGATTACCTGGGCAAAACTGTTCAAGGTAAGGAAGTTTTTGGCAATTCTTACTTTAGTTTTGCATCACCAAAGCATCATCATTAGGGTTCGACATCTCTGCTAGCTGGGTTGCCCGAGGCTGGTAAAAGTTTGGTTGGGCTAGTAAAAAACTGTTTTATCATTTAATAGCCTGCTGTCTTGTAGAAAAATTGAAAGAAATTATTTATAATTGGTTTACTTGAAGTTCTCAGTTGATTAAAAAAACAAGAAAATTTAAATTGTAATGATAATACCAATAAGGAAGGCATAGACCTTTTGTCTTCTGGCGTCTTTTTTTGTCTTTTGTGTCAATCGTAAACATGGCAAGATCCCAGACTTTGCGCTTAATGGTCAATGTCTTCCCCAGTCTTCTCCCTACCAATGTTGCAATGCCTTGCACATCGCCTTGCGATTGCCTTGCACTTAAAGCAATTGTGAAGAAAAATTGATCTGAGCTACCAAGTTGTGTTTTGGGCTAGTAAATTTAGAAATCACTAGCTTAGTGGCTAGTAATGCAGGTAGTTAGGTGTCAAACCCTGATCATTGTCATCATCATCATCATTATTATTATTATTAATATTTTTGTTGCTGTTGTTTTATCATTATCATTGTTTTATCCTTAACATTATCAGGGCTGGAAATTAAAAGAAAAGTTTGGTCACCATTTTGCGACTTGATACGTAAATATAGTCGCAAGTTCACGAATTTTAGTCGCAAAAATAATTAACCACAATTAGTTAATAAATAACTTTGACTGGTGTATACCATTTACAAAATTCATTCCATTTTACCGTGAGAATCAGGAGAGAGGCAAAACCATGAGAGAATGCAAATGGTAAACACATTTTCCGTAAATGGTAAACACCCTTTGGAATCACTGAACGAGAACGCCAGGGTCAGCTCTAATCCAGCAGTTTAACAAACAAAAATATGAGCCTGCAATGCATAGGAATAAGAGACGCTGCAATGGTGGCCGATCAAGGTAATGGCGTAGCGTGCACAATATTGCGGATAAATTAGGTACAATTGTACCCTATATCTTCAAATGTCTATGATAATCAAGGCACACGATATATTTTTACATTTCTTTATTTGTTTTGGCAAAAATAGTGACAAAGTAGCGACCGCTCACTTTTTTACTCTACTCGCATATCTGTGGGAATTTTTAGTCGCAAAATTAAAAATTAAATCGCAAATGCAACTGTCTTGGGCGCAACTTCGAGCCCTGATTATTATTTCGCGTATTTTTCCAATTATGGCAATTATCTTAGAGTATCTTGTAGCTGCCCTTTTTTTCTAGCGCTTATGATTATTAAGGGGTAGCTTGTAATCCTTTTTATTCTTGTCAATTTATCATTATTTTTATAAGTATTTTTTATGTTGGGTACAAAATTAATAAAGTTGTTGTTGTTGTAGAGATAACCATATATCTCAGAGAGACATGCCTTTTGCAGCTGTTAAGCCCAATTTCTAGTCCATGTAACGAGAAATTCACCTTCTGTGTTGAATTACATTGTAAATTATATCAATTCTTATGCATTTCAGAATAACATGTGCCTCAATCCGCGTAAATGTAAAGTTGTCACGGTTGACTTTCTTCACAATAACAGTTGTGTGCTCATGCCGATCATGGTTGGCGGATCCCTTGTAGAACAAGTTTCGTCGTTTAAGTTGCTTAGCATACATGTTTTGGAGGATCTCTTGTGGACTGTGCACATTGACTGGTTGGTGAAGAAGGCCAATCGTAGACTTTTTGTGTTAACACATTGACACCTGAACCGCCCAATTAAAGCTCGCGATTGCCTCATGCGGGAACGCTTTTCCCCTACCTCCCCTACAAAGTGAAGTTTTGTCTCCAAACTTCCTCTATAGATTGTAGATCAATAAGCCAATCAGAATCCGTGGTTTGCGCATATATTTTGTTGGCTTTAGGGGGTACTAGAGCGGCATTACTCTAAGCGTCTTCACTAAATGATCAAATTTGAAAAAATGGCGTCCAAGCGGCCGACCCTCAAAATTTTCAGGTCGGATTTTTTGTTCATTTGCGATCGAGTTAGACCTTGTGGAACTCATAATGTAAAGTAACAATGCTATAGAATACTCTGCTTGAAAAAGAATGGATATCAAGGTCTTAAAAGTGACAGAATAAGCTCTTGAATCAACGACACCATGAGTCTCAAAGGCGATGCGAATTATGGACGTAAAGTGAAAACTGAACTTTTGGACTTCAAGCGAGGCCTAGCGACAATTTGACGATTAGATGGTCCGGTAAATATTATGTTCGAGTAACAATGTGTTCAAAATGTTTTGTTTAGTAGAAGATTTTGCCTCAAATCGAAGTTTTTTCAGAATTTTCAACAGAATGCTGTGCAATTTCTGGCCATGAAGGCAAGTAAACAATGATCTAAGCATGATGAATTTTACTGCATGGGCTTTGTACACATAAGAAATTCATACGTTTTTTGCTTATAACTACAAATAAAAAACTGTTTTGAATAAATCTGACGTCCTGAAATATTTCTTGGCCATTTTAGTCTTGCTTTCAATTGATAGATTTCATGGAACTTGAGATCTCTTCACTCATGGACAAATTTGCATATTTCCTTTTGAAATATGATCCACATGTCCATTTTCACACGTGAAAATATTTAGCGATTTTTATCTTTCATCTTGATTTTTGAGTTAAAGGGTAATATGCACCTATTACTTTTTTGGCCGGAAATAAGTTCTTTAACTAATCTTCTTTCACTGGAGCTTGTTTTTTGGAAAAGATGATTTTTAAAAATTTACTGCACATGTGTTTGCCTTCTTGGTTTCTCCAAAATTTTGACTTTTCGAAGGCACGTGTTACACGTAAGTGTCAGTGCGTTAAGGCAGCTGTGTAAGAGTGGGGTATCTCCTGTAGACATCATTACCATATACTGTGCACTTATAAGATCTGTATTGGAGTATGCGTCAGCTGTGTTTACTGACTTGCCAAAGTACCTGGATAATGCACTGGAAGTTGTCCAGAAAAGGGCTCTCTCTATTATATGGCCTGACCTTTCATACAAACATGTGCCTGAAAAGGCCACTATTCAGTCCTTGTCGGCCCGCTGCGCAGATGCATGCGAGCTATTTATCCATAAAATTTGCCCAGGCCACCCCTTGTACCCCATATTCATGAACGAGTACTTCACAGCACAACGCAAATGTGTCTGCGATTAGGCAAATCTTCTCACTGCATGCTTCTAAAAACTGAACAGTTCAAAAATTTCGTTACCGTTAAGTATCAGCCTGTGTAATGTATTGTTTGTATTAATTCATATTTATTATGTATATACTGTACCAGTAATTCAGCCTCGGGCTGCAAGTGGTCAGAAATAAACTATATTATTATTATTATTATTATTATTATTGTTATTATTATTATTATTAACCCATTAAGGTCCAAAGCCCTCAGCCCAGACCACCCCTGAAAATCCAGACAAAATGGCTGTCCAATTAAAAAAAACCACATGGTCCAAACAAATTTACCATTTTATGTCTTGGTTTTACTCTTCAGCAGTGAAACTTTAAAACATGATTGCCAATACAATAAAGAATTACTTAAACTGCTTAAATACTGAAGATGTATGTTATGCTTTTTTAAAAAAAATATTAAAGTATGGACATCAAGTAAACAAAGTGACCATCGCTGTACTACCTACTATGTACAAGGAAATGAAAACATCTTAAAACCACAGTAAGTCTCAATTGCTGCTCTTAACTCAGCAGAAATGCAAACAAAATATCTATATATTTTTGTATCTGTGTGGTATATACTAAAAGAATTATTTACCTCAGTGTTGTTGAAAGTGGTGGATATTCACTGAGCTGCAAAGTGGTGAGGTAAATATCAACCACTTTCAATGACACAGGTGATTAATTTTTAGTTCTCATGCAGTTATATCAGGGTGAGACGAAAATGAAAAGATAAGGTTGCCCTTCGGGCAAGCTGTTACTCGAGATTACTAGCCCAAAGGTCTGAGGAGCTAGCCCGAAATTAAATTGTTTATAAAGAATAATTAGATTTATTTAATTATGCAAAATACAGGTAATGATGCTAAGCAGTGACATAAACTAATTCTTCGTATATTTTGATTCTTGAATGTGATTTTCGTTTTAACTCAAATTAAACAATGTAACAGAAACGACCAGTTTTTACACCTGACCACCAGAAGTTGCGGTTACAACTTACGTCAAAATTTTGTGGACGAGAATTCCAAATACAGTCATGTGATCTAATCTTGTGATTGCAAATAACTGCTTCAGAGTAAAATTTCATTCAAACATGGACGAAATAATGAAGGAAAAATAAACTCTGCACTCGAATGGGTTTGTTCCTTTAATGTTTACATTTTACCCCATCGATGGTGAAAAATACTATAAATTTATGGAAATAACAACACAGTTATTTTTGTGAATGTCATAGACATTGCAATCAGTCAATTAAACTACCACTGTAATCTGCAGTCTGTCGACATTCGATGGAGTAAATTCTCTTCAAAGCTTGTCAAGCTCACAAACTCTTCCAGACCTGGTGCCGTTAGCATCTGATAAAAAATAAAAACAAACATGCAACTTGATAATGGCGCCAGGTCTGCTAGCTTTTCTCCAAGCGAGTTTTTTCTTGTTTTTTAATGTTACACGAAGTAGGCCTTTTTTGTTTTAATAATGAATTGGCAGCCTTAAAATAGATACAAGAATCTGGATTTGGATTTTCCCATGGAATCGCACCTAAAATTCCGAGAAAATCCACTGAACCGTGACTGGGCTGGAATTTAATTAGACTGATTGTCTTGCACTGCACGCTGTCAGTCAGCAAATATTGTCATTTCAACAAATATATTTCGGCTGCTTAAGTAAACAGAAAAAGTCATGACGTTATTTACGGACGCAACTAAAATGCGGCGCAAGACATAGTCATGCTACAATAATTTGGCCTCATAACGTTGTCCTTTTCCCTCAGGTGCTTTCTGCTATACAATTTTAGGTATACGCTCAATTTATCATCATCAGAACAGAGGAACCAATGGTGGTGCTTGCCCGTTGGGCAAGCTGCGATAAGAAAACGCTAGCCCGACAAGTCATTCCACTAGCCCTGGGCTATTGGACAGCACTTTTGTCACGTCCTGTTATATGTATTGATGGAAATTATAATCAACAGCTGTTCCAAAATAAATATGCATGGCTTCATGTATTGATGTGTGGTGTCATTGATACTCTCAAATAAAGGATCTATAAGAGTGTTGTTTGATGTTTGCTCTTTTGTAATCCATAGTGGTCCCTCACATCACAGATGCTATTCAAGACTGGGTGACAAAGGTGTCCACGGAACCTGTTGAGAACGATATCCAGGCTGATGTTTGTCTTATTGAGGTGACCCATCAATAATGAGTCACATTTAGAGCAATTTCCAACTGAGGGTCTAAAGTAATCCAGGAGACTAAGCACTTTGGCTTTACTTAACCTTGCTGTGTGATTGGTCCAGAAATTTTTGACCATCCTCTCAACTGATTAGTTGCAATTTCTGGAGAATATCTTTGTTTGATAGCAGCAACGAATGCCATGTGAAGCCACAACAATCATCTTTCGCATTTTGGCACGTATAACCAAAGGCTATGTGGTGTCTAACCATGCTGTTATACCAAACTTTCACAAGGTTGTAACATTTTTTACACTTTTTCTAGTAATCTCCAGAGAAACGTGACATGAGAACCTTGCTTTTGCGTACACTAATATGGGAAACCATCCAACTAAACTGCACATACAGATCTGGAGTAAGAGCTATTACAATCATTGACATTTTCCTGCCCTTCAAGCAGTTTGCCTGTTTTCACATGACTTCTCATTGGCTGGTGATGAAATAAACCTTTGTTCTAATGGGCAGTGGGATTACTTTGGTTTTGTTTTTCTTACTCAGTTGAAAACTGCTCTAATACAATGTAGCAGGTTAGTGTTCTTATAGAAATAATTAAACCTGAGATTAAATGGGGGAGTGCATGGGTGAGAGTTAGCAGGGGTAAATATTCCATTGCCTTAGATTTGCTCTGGTGTGGTTACATGTTACTATTTACATCTACCATCAGATTCAAAGGTTCTTGCATCAACATCCCTGGACTTGCATGTAATTTGCCTCAGCAGAAGAATGCAAACAAAAAAACTTGGGCAAATGTGACCGGGCACAGGATTTCGTACACTAACGCTTTTTCGTTAAACGGTTGAAAATAAATGGTTTGTAAACGGATAATAAACGGGTAGTAAGAGTGTTTAAACGGTTTGCATATCCATTTAAACGGATAGTCCAAAGCATTAAACGGTAGAGCAAAGTCCAAAAACGGATTCCGTCAACCGTTAAACGGCCGAGAAAAAAAATAAACGGATGGCTTAAAACGTTAAACGGTTGAACAGGATCTATTAATGGATAGCCTAAAACGTAAAACGGATGGACAAAAACCTTGAACGGATCAGGAGGGCTATAGAACAGCGGGATAAGCCATGCACGTAACTAACAGAAACCGTTGCGAACAATTATACGAATAATATTGTTCTTGCGGAACACTGACGTTTCATGCTAATATTATATTCGACTGACACCAGTAGAAAACGAAGTAAAATTAAATTACTAGCCTGCAATTAAGCTATCCACTGGCGAGTAAAGCGAGCCGAGAGCGAGTCTCGCACTGGAGAGCTCGCAATGCGTTTGAAAATTTGCATAAAATATAAGCAGAGGAAGCAATCTGTCAATCATACCATGCGGACTGAACATTCTCGACAAAAANAATTGCAACTTTCTTTCGCTCATGTTTCATCTAGCGTTCGATTTCGTAAAGTAATTTGTAATTATAGCTTTTATAAAGCCATTTTCGTTTCCTTTCAATTGATGGAAATAAAAGATGAGAAACCCAATGGCCACCGATTCGGTAAATAGTTTTGCCGTACACGTCTATCGAAATAAATTTGCATAAGCATGAAAACAAATCTCGCTCTTCTCGTGTTACTTAACGAATATTCTGTTTTCGTAAGGTAATGCGAGCTCTTGTGTCTCAATATCTAATGAGAATTCTTCAAATCGAAGACCTTCTCATACCAGAGATTTGCAAACAGTAAGTTGTAGCGAAGACCAACATAGCCGCACGATCGAAGCGTGATTGATTTTGAACGGGTGCTTCTTGGGACTGTTTTATACCGTTGCTCTTCAAAAACGTTGAACGGATGCAAGTAACCGTTAAACGGATAGATTTTTTTTAAAATGGATAGGTTAACCGTTTAAACATTTTGTCGAAAACGTTAAATGGATGAGCAAAGCATTTAAACAGATGAAGAAAGCATTTAAACGCTTTCGTTAAACGGTAAAGCGTTAGAGTACGAAATCCTGTGCCCGGTCACAAATTCATAGAAGCAAAACAAACTCAACCGAAACAGAGACCTTAAATTTTTAAAATGTTTCAAAATTTGATGAGGGGACTCAATTGCTCTTCTTAACAGTTTTTCCTGGAGTTTTTATTCTGTCAAAGTGTGGCTACATTAATCTGACAAAAGATTATTGAATGTATAATGATTGTGAGTGTTTGGTAACAATGCATTTTTCCCGTTGTATTTTCCTACAGCTTGGAGGGACAGTCGGTGACATTGAGGGTATGCCTTACATTGAAGCTTTTCGCCAGTTCCAGTTTAGAGTTGGAAGAGACAACTTTTGTGTGGTCCATGTCAGTCTGGTGCCAGAGGTATACTCTACTTCATTAGCATCTACGTATCTAGTCCCCTTTCTCTTGCATCAGGGGTTGTCTTAACAGAGAGATGACTGTATTTGAAACTAAAGATAACTAAATGTAAAGTTGAGTTATTGCAAATTGCTGAGGGAACTAGAAAGCAAAACTTTCAAATTCACAATAAGCATTAGCATACTATTTCTTTCCTTCAAGTTTACTGAAATTTATTTTAAATTTGTATTTCTCAGCCTGATTCAACAGGTGAGCAGAAAACAAAGCCTACACAAAACAGTGTGCGTGAACTGCGTGGTTTAGGCCTGAGTCCTGATCTGGTGAGTTGTCTTAATTCTAAGAAAAATTCTGATGAATTTCAATGCACTTTTCTAGGTATTATACTCTGCAGTTTGATTTAGGAGGATAGGTTATATCAGTAGGTATAATGTTGTTCTTAGAACTCTGAACCAGTGCAAGCCTGCTCACAGACTTAGGTAACACCATCGTTTGAAACTGGTTACAACACTTTTATTGTTGACCAATGTCTCTGTTTTGGACATGTTTACAAATATTATTTTATTACATTTTTTGCTATTTGAAGACCATCTCTTTTACAGATTATGTGTAGATGCAAGAATACTGTGACAAATTCTGTTAAGCAGAAGGTGTCTTTGTTCTGCCATGTCCCTCCAGAACAGGTGAGAATTTTTCACTAAAATCTTTGGTATTCCTTTCCTCTTCTTTTAAATTGAATGCAATTTCAAATTTTATTTGTTTGTTTTAGGTTATAGATGTCCATGACTGCAAATCCATTTACAGTGTTCCATTGTTGTTATCAAGCCAAAAAATTGTTCCATTTTTTGCCAAAAGGCTTCAATTAGAAATCAAGTTAACCAAACCAAGACATTTTATGATACAATGGAGAGAATTGGCTGAGAGGTGTGTATGTTTGACTGTCTCTTAGTACACTGTACTTGAGAGTGACAAGAAGAAAACTCATGTTTTGGAGAGTAATGATACTCATTAAGTAATCAATTAAGTTGTCTCACCTCTTTAATTGGTGTTAACATTACAAGTGATTTTATGTTTGGATGAAGCTGGTTGGGAAAACTCTACTTTTGTAAAATGGGTACAGAGGGTAAGCTTGGTTACGAGTCAGTTTTTTACTCTGCTGAGGCTCATGTTCCTATTTGGAACTCCCCCTGGCAGGGATTCTGCTGATAAACTTTCTTGGAAACTTAAGCTAATCCCTCATTCCTTTCTCCTCTAGATTTTCTTTTAGTTTACTGTTCCTCCTTTACACTCCTTTATGGAGAGAGGCTCTGGAGAGAACTTCCCCTGGTGGGGTTACTGCTGATAAAATTTGTAGGAAACATTAGCTAACCTCTCGTCCCTTTCTCCACCATTGGGTTTCCTTTTCAGTTCACTGTTCCTCATTCTCCTTTATGGAGAGAGGCTCCATCACAGTGTAGTGTTCTGCTCAAGAACACATGGAAAATAACGAGCAAGGTTTCAGAATTAACCCCAGAACACAAAGTCTAAAATGCTGACTTTCCAGCCACTGTATTGCTGTATTTGATTAAAAATCATTGAACTGAAAAAAATGCTGAAAAAGACGTAGTAACCTCTGTGCTAGTTGCTACCTGTATCACTAGTTTTCAAGGGTTCATGCATGTGTAGGCATGTTGATAGTCCTGGTATCATCAAGATAGATTCCATGAATTAATTGATTTCTCCCTCTTGCTTTCAGGGATGAGCGACTCGTGCATGAAGTTAAGATTGCTCTTGTTGGAAAGTACACAAAGCTAGAGGATGCTTATATTTCTGTCCTCAAAGCTCTGAAACATGCTTCACTCCATTGTAACAGGTGTCTTAAAGTTGTGGTAGGTACTTCTTAATATGTTTAAGAATTATGTTCCAAAAAGTTGAAATAAACTTTAGTTTAACAAGACTTTCATTATTTTCAATATCTCAGTGGGTAGAGTCTGAAAATCTTGAGAAGGAAGTTCAAGAGAGAGATCCAGTGAAATATCATGAAGCTTGGCAGAAGTTGTGCGGATGCGAGTGAGTAACTTGTTTTTCACAGTGAATGGACTCATCTTTCTAATGTTGCTAATATATAATTACATCTACAGTGTAAAAAGTGGCTGGGTTACTCTGTTCAAATTGTATTACACTCTGTTTAGTGGTAACAATGCTGCAGTGTACTCCTAATCAAGTGAATGTACAGAACAAAAAAAAACAATGATAAAAGAAATCTTTCTTTTATTGAGTAGCTCTATCGCCATCTTGTAATGACAAAATATGATTATGAGTCGTACTATTTTGACAGTGGTATACTGGTACCAGGAGGGTTTGGAAAGAGAGGCACAGAGGGGAAAATTGCTGCAGCTGAATGGGCAAGGAAGATGAAGAAACCTTACTTAGGTATGTTATTATCCTAAATGGTTTGTTTGAGTTTCATTTGATTTGGGATATGTTTTTTAGACCTTTCAATCTTCAATGAATAAGGACTGAACCCTTTACTCTCTAACATCAGTATGCATATTCTCCCTCCTTTTTTCCATACATTTCCAAAGGTGCTGATATAGAGAATTTGTTTAGCAACCAAGAGTACAACATGTATCTGTTGTTGGTGATCATTTTCTACATTCCCATGACCTCAATGTGTGATTCAGGGGTGATAAAAAAAAATTATTTGAAGGAGAAATTAGATGCTAGCCACTCCAAGGGGTTAAAGGGTTACTTCTCTTAAACTAGCTGAGAGACATTTCCTTGTATTTAAGTTACATGTACAATAATTTACAAGATAAAGACTTCTATGTGATCAGTTTGAGTATTCTCATCATCTGTTTGCTGGATAATAATATATTGGATATTATAGGGAGAGTGAATCGCTTCTGGCGGGGTTAAAGGGCAATTTTTCTTTCTTGACTAGGTGTTTGCTATGGACTGCAATTAGCTGTCATTGAATTTGCCAGGAACATTTTGGGATTCAAGGGTAAGAGTGTACATTTTTATTTATTAATTTTTTTTTTCAAAAAGTCATAACTTGTACTTCTTTGACTTTGCTTGATGTTACTGTCTTGACTTGGCTCAAACTACCCACTTTAAAAAATATAAAATTATCCTTTTTTAGATGCAAACTCCACAGAAAATGAACCAGATACCAAACATCCTGTGGTAAGTATAGGTGTATCACTTTTGTAATGCTTACTTAAAAAGCTTAAAACCAGTTGTTTGTTTGTTTATTTACAACCATGATTTCAGTTGTGCTGAGAAATTGAGATATTTCAGATGGCTCTGAACCAAAAACAGGGTACAGACTCTGATGGCTGATTTTTTACTTTCAATGTACCCTGCAATAAACATGTTTACCATCAACAAAAAACGAAATGAAAAACAAAACAAAACAAAACAAGAAACCTGAACTCTGAAGAAAGATTCAAATTGAACTCCCCAGTATCTCAATCTTTTTTCACTACTCTTGGTATTTTGAGTAAGCAGGGTTTGACATTTGTAATTTTCTCATTGAGGAGTTAAAGATGTCAAAAGTATGATAAAAGATTGTTGACAATTATGACTGCTAGGTTATTGAAATGCCAGAACACAATCCAGGCAATCTTGGAGGGACAATGAGGCTTGGAAGACGGCGCACAGTGTTTTCAAAAGTGCATGAGAGCATAACAAGTGAGTGGCATGTCATTCCAAAGTAGTGTTAGTCTAAAAGAAGTTTTTTTTTCTTTTTGTCTTTATTTATTTTGTTCTGTGTGAAGTAACTTGCTTTCTCAGCATTACCAAAACGTATCTAAAGACATGAACTCAATCCTTACTTGATGTGAACCTGGGGAGATTTTACTTGGCTGGTCTTGTACTCCAAGAAATGCACAATCCTTAAAGATGTATGTGATTGCAGATTTTATAAGTTCCTTACCTTTGTTCTATATTTTATTCAGGAAAGCTTTACAAGAATGCAGAATTTGTAGAAGAGAGACACAGGCATAGATATGAGGTAAGAGAGGCTGATCAAAAATGAAAATCACTGAAAGTGATTTAGTGACTCCTGCATCTTAACACAAAACGATATATTTGGCTTGTTGGCAAGTGTATGAATCCAATGATTCATTTACATATTTTTCTGTTGTCAAAGCTTTCCACAGTCATAACATGTTCATAACAGCAAGTGTTCTCTTTTACTTTTAAAATGAAGGTCAATCCAGAATATGTAAGTCAATTTGAGGAAAAGGGAATGAAATTTGTTGGCCGAGATGTGGAAGGTGAACGAATGGAAATCATGGAGATCAAAGGTATGGGGATAAAGTAAAGTAATATGCTATCTGTTGACTAATAAACTTATTCATATGAGTAACTCATTGGGTAAGAGGATTTCCCTGCCCAACTGAGTTAACTAGACTGAGCAACTTTACCTATTTTCAGACCATCCATATTTTGTTGGAGTCCAGTACCATCCAGAATACATAAGTCGGCCAATTAGACCATCCCCACCCTACTTGGGATTGATTTTGGCAGCCATCGGAAAACTCACCCCCTATATTGCCAGGGGATGCCGCTTGTCACCAAGGTGCAGCATCAGTGAAGATGAGGATGAGGACGTGGACGAGGAATTGGCAAATGTGGCAGCAGCAAAACTCCCAGAATTCAATCTTTAGGTGGAGTTCTACTTTCTCTATCATCGGGAACTGATGTCTGTATTTCAGCTTTTGGGCTTTACAATTTACAGATTAATGTATTAAGTACCATGAACTTGTTAAAGAAAAATGAGGATTTCCCATGATGATAGCATCATTGGTGTCATAGCTCACTTTGTATCTAAAGTTTATGGTGTACAGTTTACACCATTTTAAGAACAACATCTCTCTAGAGCACTGTGTCGTGGTTTCATTTTATCCCTGGTTCCATTTTTACTCTTTTGTTTGATAAAAATACGTAAGTGAGAAAAATTATGAAAGCATAAAAGAAAACAAAGAATGCTATCATTATGCCAAGGATGAAAGTTAACCACAACACAAGGAGAGCTGCTTAATTATTTTCTTTTATGGGAAAAAACAGCAACATACAGAAGGTCCTTCACACTTACTTTTAATCACAATATTTATGAACTTTGTATTGACTTGGTGTTCAACACTAGTAGTCTTTTAAAACTTAGCTCTGGTTTGCTAACTTTTTTACAATTGCAATAGTCATACCATTCACCTTGAGACTATTTTACAAAGTTATTATCCCTCAATTTCCTTTTCTGATCACACAAGACTTAGATAGGACAGAATTAATTTCCTTTGTCTTGCTTGTGATCAAATGAAAGTGGAAATGACTTTGAACTATTTTACATTACTTATTTTGTACTCTAATAAAATATTTAACCAGTGCAGATTATTCTCTACACCCTAAGGAACAAATAGAAACAATGAATAAAAACCAAAACTGCACAAAATCTAAAGTTTTATTAAGAAAGAAAAATGCAATTCTATGTACTTGTGTAATATGAGACTGCAAATTGTTAGAAGAAACCTCCCCTAGTAGAACAAGTTGATGTTAAAATGATGAAAATGTCTTGTATGATAAAGATTTGTATGACAGATTGCGAAACATACCAATAAAAATTGAAAAAAAAAACTGTAAACAAATACAAGTAATATTAATGCTTCAATTTCTTGTTTGGCTTGTTTGATGTTAAGCAGTTGCCACTATTATCAGACAATAGATCTTTTGTTTGCATGAGTGTTTAGGAGGTCCTGCAGATATTAAAGGCAGTGGTAACACAGCATACGATTCAACAAGGAATCACACATAGAATTCCAGTTTGAAAACAACTTGTATCTGTTTCAATTTTTTCCTTGCACTAAGTAACATTTCTATTTGACACAAGATGACTTATGATGATTTAATAACAATTTGTTCTACCAGTGGGGTTTCCTTTAGTTTTCCAACTAATGAAAACTCGAGTTGTTGGAAGAATTTTCCATTTTCTGCCTTTAAAAGCACACAAAACCCACAATTCCTCTATTGTTGGAAGAATCCCTGAGGGTAGGATTTCACTGTTTTCAAACCCTCCCAGCATATTCTAACCAATGAAATCTCAAAATAGTAGACATTCCCAGTTGTCTGGGCTTGTTAGCAACAAATTGGGAAAAATTAGGAGGGTTTCTATTTTCCTGGTGCATCTGACTTTCCTGCAATGTCCGGTAGTTATTGAAGATTAAAACTCCAATTTTTACTGTTTGGGGAGGCTGGCATTAGTTTTAGCTTGCCACAAATCTTCGAATTACTTGGTACCAGTACCCTTGTGTCAAATAGAACGAAATCTGTAACCCATTAAGACAAACACCAGGTGATCTCTAGATTTATTAACAAAATACGGGGGGGCTGGGGAACAATGAAATCTCCAATCTTGAATTTTCGTTTTTTTGATACCTTAAAGATACCTTTGTCAAGCTGTTGCCAACATTGTACTCAGATATTTAGTTCTAAAGGTTATCTCACCATTTCCTTATGGAACAGTGTGAGTTTTTTCGCCTCTGGCGTTAACAGTCTTTGGCCATTTTTTAACATTGTATAGCACCAATATTTAATTGAAATCGATTACTTATTTGTAAATTAGCTCGGTATTAAAGGTATTTTATTTAATTTGATAATTATGTTAGTTATATTTGTACACTGTTGTGTATATATATTAAATACTACATTACATTGGAATTAAAATATATTTTCAAGGTTGCAAGGTTTTGCAATGAGTTATGTTGATTCGCACTGGTTCAAGTTTTTTTAGCTCTGCTGTTTTTGTTATTTTTCTCTTATCTTTTTGGTCCTTCGGCAGTCTACATCACAGACGAGTATGGCTAAGATCCTGGACAGCTCCTGTAGCGGGTCTAGTGGCTGGAACTTCAACAGTATTTGCAGAAAATTCAACATTTATTTCTTGCTCTTTTCCAACTGTGCGTCGTGGTTTTCCAACCATTTTGCATATGAACAATGGGACAAATTCCGTATTTAATGAGCATTTATTCCATCTGCCGCTGAAAGATTCCCGCTTTTACCACATGAAGATCAAGAAAAAGCGTGCTCCGTGTCTTTACAATCCCAACTCGTCCGCATCGCGGCAGCTTCTTCTCAGAGGCGGGGACGTGTCTGTTAATCCCGGCCCTTCCACCAACGATCGTCTCCTAAAATGCCTTTCATTTAATGCACAAAGCCTAAAAAGTAAACACACGTCTCCTCGCAGCGAATCGTTCTGCCAGATTCATGCATTTCAAAAGCTGGTTTACACTAACGAATACGACATCATTTGTGTTACCGAGACTTGGCTCAAAGATTTTTTCCTGGACTCTGAAATTTTGGATGCCGGCTACACTATCTTTAGACGCGATGGGGTTGAACGTATGTATGTATGTAAATCTTTATTTAAACACGGAAAATCATCAGTTACATAATAAAAACTAAGATTAATCAACTGCTTTACACGATTGCCGTGTGGGAATCCTATATATCGACTACGTTAAGATATCGACTACGTTAAGAACGTCGTTCTCGACTACGAAGATATCGACTACGTTAAGAACGTGAAGGCGGGGGCGTGCTAATAGCAGTAAAGGTCAATCTTGATTGCCGTCGCAGATCTGACTTAGAAACAGGGCTCGAAATGTTATGCGTCGAGTTAAACCTCGCGTGTTCTTCTAAATTAATTATCAGTGTTATTTATAGACCACCTGACTCTACACCAAGCTATGATTTTTACTCCGTCACGGAGTTTATGTCTCATCTCAATATCTCTGCTCGCTTCCTCAAGAGCCATTCCTTAATTCTTAGGGACTTTAATTATCCTGCTATCAAGTGGATTGAAAGCTGCGGCTTTTCGAACTTTACGAACTCTGCCGATTCTGCTTTTTGTGAAACTTTACTCGACCACTCTCTACTGCAAGTGAACCCTTTTCCGACCTGCAAGGAGAATATTTTGGATTTAATAATAACTGATGCACCTGACCGCATTCTGAACATTGCGACCTGAACTCCTCTACTGGCTGGCCTTGTGACCGATCACGACCTACTTGAATTCGACTTGGTTGCTAGGCCTCGTAAAGAAACCTGCCCGCTATGCCTATAAATTTAAATCAGCTAACTTCGAGAACCTCAAACTGCAGATTATGCAGAGCTCTGCTATTAGTAATAGCGTGTTACGTGACTCGGATGTTGACGCCTGCTGCTCCATTTGGAAATCCGCCCTTCTGGATGTTATCGATGCTAATAACCCTAAGGCCAGAGTCAGGGACTTCAACACACCTCCGTGGATTGACAAAGAAGTTCGTCACTTGCTGAAGAGGAAAGAATCAGCCAGACGTGCAGCCAAGAAACACAACAACGCATTTAACCTTGAAAAGTTCAGGACTTTAAGAAAAGTACCTAAGGCATTGATAAACAGGAAATTAAAGGAATTTCTCACTTCTCTTGGCGACAACTTGAAAGCCAATCCAAAGCGCTTCTGGAGTTATTTCCGCCGCAGAACCAAGTCAAACTCTATACCAGCTAATGTTACGTACGGTGGACGTCAGATATCCTCCGGGGTGGAGATGGCAGAAGCCTTCAATAAGTTTTTCTATTCTACGTTTACGCATGCGCCTGAGGTACCCCTTGATCCATTTACGCCGCCCGACGGCAGTTTGCCCGTCTTCGACAGCTTAGTGCTGTGCGAGGACGAGGTCTACAAAGTGCTCTCGAATCTAGACCCGAGTAAAGCTCCGGGCCCTGACGGTCTCCCTACAACCGTGCTAAAGACGTGTGCAAGGGAATTAACACCTTCTCTTTGCGCCCTTTTTAATTTATCTCTTG